GTTTGTTTAATTAAATATATATATGCATGAATAATAAAATTCGTATTATATTGATAAAAAAAAATGATAACTTTATCAATTTTCCAAAAATAGTATTAATCATGGCTATGCAAACAACATGTAAAGAACTAATATTGATTATTTTTCTTAGTAAAAATTATTTGGCAGTCAGTCGCTTTGTATTTTCTCCTGGGATAGACATTGACTTTACAGTAATAAAGGAAAGGAAAAATTTGAATGTCATTTCCGGGTTTCATATGCAGACAATTTCAAATATTATTTATTATCACTATAGTTGCAAAAATATATTGTATTATTTATGATTTAAATGAAAATAATATTTGATTCTGAAATTGTTATGATTTCTTTTTTTATATAAAGAGGAATAAATCTTATTTTTATAGAACAAGAGTTAATGATTTTTTTCAAAAACATGGATATCCTTATTATTATTTTAATAAAGTGATTCAACGATATCAATCCTTAATTGTATGTCAAATATTGATTAATGAACTATATTACATATTTCAAGTGCACATTTAGAAAGAACATGATTATCGGCTTTCCTTGGTCCTTGACAAGGAAAGATGAATGTTGAAAACCTTAATTACTTTAATCATTTTAGGCACTATGGATTTCTCTCTCCATCAAACAAACGAATTCATATCTCAACTATGATTTAATGCTGCTCAATTTTTTAATGTTCTGATACTTAAGACTATATTGATTTTGATATTTAAAGTCGAGTACTTCAGTATTAAACATTAATTGTTTAAATATCTTTATATATACGTATAAAATATGACCTAATCATTTCTATTACTAATTAGTAAGAGCTAAATTTCTAAATTATACAAATTTCCAAAGTAGGTGGTGCTCACTACTGTAAAAATATACTGGCAAATATATTTTTATTCTCAAACTCGGTACTTAATACATTATCCTATTTGTTTTAACACAATAACGTTTGAGCCTAACTTTCGATTTCAAGTTTTCAAAGTTGCTGGATTTTATAAGGTTCTCGATCTCAGGATCTCTACCAAGTCCACTTGGTTATGAACCCAAATGGACCAAGTAGAGTCTTTGACTTCTCTTAGTGCAATTTAGTAACTTCGAGAGCTCTTGCTATATTTTACATAATTGCTCAAGTGAAAATATGCATTAATCATACAACATAGTACAAAATGTAGATGGCGTGAAAGATGTGAAATGGGGGTTTAACATAAATGAATTAAATTAATTATTATAAAAATGATTATAATGAGTTAAATAAATTCTTGAAATTCTTCTTTTGATTTAAAAAAATTTTATAGTAGAAATGGATTTAACATTGTTTTTTGCTTTACTTCGGATAATGGTACAATTTTTAAAGTTCATAAAAATAAATATTTTAAATAACATAAATTTAAATGTATATTGTTGTTATGTAAAGTACTTTTTAAATATTAATTGCCTGGCAACTCTGGCCTGTCATTATTCTATATTCCTTTTGTAATTATTATTCATTATTCATTTTTAGTATAGTTAATAAAGCGAAGTAAAGAACATGTTAAAAATACATCGGACCGTGTGTTTCACTTTTGCTAAAAATATATAATAGGTTATGGGCCCAGCACGCTTCCACTGCGAAGTAAAAAGCACGTGCACATAAAAAGTAGATTTAATACGTGTATAAAAATGTCGGGAACGGTGATTCGAGTTGAACCGCTTAACGCGGAAAACTACGATACATGGAAATTACAAATGAAAGCTATTCTCATAAAAAACGATTTATGGTCATATGTCGAAGGTACTGCGTCGTGTCCAACGGGCGAAGCGGCTGCAAAATGGATCAGCTTTGATCAGAAAGCGTGTGCTGATATAATGTTATCAGTAAGTGCATCAGAATTAAGATTAATTGCAGAATGCACAAATTCAAACGAAATGTGGATGAAACTACAAGCCACATATTCATCAAAAGGGCCTGCGCGCAAGGCGACGTTGCTGAAAAAGGTTGCACTTTCGCGCATGAAGGAGGGTGAAAAGGTTAGAGAGCACCTCAACGATTTTTTTGAAGCCGTGGCAAAATTAAAGGAAATTGACGTCACCATCGGGGATGAGCTTCTGGCCATACTGCTCCTATATAGCCTACCCGATTCTTTTAATACTTTCAGGTGCGCGTTAGAAACGCGCGACGAGCTGCCAAAGCCAGACATACTTCGAGTGAAAATATTAGAAGAAGCTGAATCGCAAAGGACAAAAGAAGACAGACATAGTGATGAAAACTCTCTATACATAAATCGAAATAAAAGCCGAAACGCAAAACAAAACAAACGATACAGTGATTCTAAACGAAACAAACAATGTTTTAATTGTGGCAAAATCGGACATTTTGCACGTGAATGTAAAAATAAAGCAAAAGCTGAAAATAACACGCAATTGAAAAATTCGGAAAAATCTGTAAACAATAATTTTAGCTATCATGTTGAAGATGCATTTATTAGCTCAATAAAAGAAAATTATTGGTGCCTAGCTAGTGGATGTACTGCCCATTTAAGTGCAAACCGTGAATATTTTACAGACTTTCAAAAATCGAATAAAGTGCTTAACTTAGCAAACGACAACACAACAAATATAAACGGCGTCGGTAAAATGAAAATAACTGTAGACGTATACGGTCGTGATAATAACATTGATCTTAAAGAAGTTCTATATGTCGAGGACTTGCGTACAAGTCTACTTTCTGTATCAAAAATAGTGGACAGCGGATATGAAGTGCATTTTCGCCCTTCAGATGCAATCGTATTGGACAAATATCAGAAGGTTATAACTCGAGCGAAAAGATGTGGAAATCTTTTTATTGTTGAAAATAAAAATCATTTTGCACAAGTTGCTGAAGAAAAATGTGACATTGAAAAGTGGCACCAGAAAATGGGCCACATAAATGAAAACGATCTTAAAAAATTGGCTAGTAATAACCTAGTACACGGATTAAAATTAAATCCTAAACAAAAACTTCCGACTTGCGAAATTTGTATTAGTGAAAAACAAATACAAAAACCATTTCCTAAGAGTAAAGAAACTAGAACAAGTGACTTATTAGAGATCGTGCATAGTGATGTGTGCGGACCAATGAGAACAGCATCAAATTCGGATGCAAAATATTTCGTAACATTTATTGATGACAAATCACGCTATTGTCAAGTATATTTTATAAAACAAAAATCCGATGTATTAAATGTATTTAAGCAATACAAAAGAGCAGTAGAAACATTTACGGGTAAACGAATTAAGGCTTTACAATCAGACAATGGTAGAGAATACGTTAATTCTGAATTTAATTTATTCTTGAGGAAATTTGGTATACAAAGACGCTTAACTGCTCCATATACGCCGGAGCAAAATGGTATTGCTGAACGTAAAAACAGAACTCTAGTTGAAATGGCCCGTTGCATGATGAAACAAGCTGAAGTTCCGCCAAATTTTTGGGCAGAGGCCATAAATACAGCGTGCTATATTCGGAATAGGTGTCCTACAAAAGCATTGAACGGTGTAGTACCGCACAAGTTGTGGACTGGTAAAATGCCAACTATTGTACATTTTCAAGTATTTGGGTCTAAAGCATATGTCCTAAAAAAGGATAAGACTAGAGATAAATTCGATTCTAAGTCAGAACCTTACATGTTTGTTGGATATTCAAACGAAGCGAAAGCCTATCGGCTATGGTCACCTACAAAACGAAATATAACAATAAGTCGTGATGTCGTGTTTGTAAACAAAAATATCTATCATAATAAATACGAAAACATTTATATTAACAATGAAAACGACTGCCAAACAAATGATTATATCGATATTGCGTTCGAAAATTCTGAAAATCAGAAACCGTCGGTCAATCCGAAAATTGTAGAAAATACAGATACGCGAGAAGAAAACTCCATTCGTAGAAGAGGTCGTCCGAGACTTATTCGCACAAATTCACGCGGTAGGCCTCGAAAAGAATATTACACGTCAAATCGGAATGGTGAAGAATCATCCAACGAAGACGAAAATACAAGTTCAGTAAGAAAAATTGCTGATAAAAACCATTCAGATGATGAACCTGACAACAACGTTTTTGTTTTTGAAGATTGTGAAATGGCGTTTCTCACTACATATCAAACTCCAGTAACGATTTTGGAGGCACTTGAAAGCGATGAAACAAATTCCTGGTCAAAAGCGCTAGAAGACGAAATGGTGGCACAACTAAAGAATAAAACATGGGAAGTGGTCGAAAGACCGAAATCACGAAAAGTTATTGGGAATAGATTCGTGCTTCGAACTAAAGATGACGAAAAACAGAAAGTACGATTAGTAGCGAAGGGTTTTGCACAACGACCAGGTGAAGACTTTCATGATACGTTTTCTCCAGTCGCTCGTTCAACATCTATAAGACTACTTGCGGCACTGGCAGCAAAAATGGATTTGGAGATCCATCAGATGGATGTCATTACAGCATACCTAAATGGAGAGATCGAAGAGAGTGTCTTCATGGAAATTCCCGATTATCTTATACCATTCCTGAACAAAGTTGTTTCATCAAAACCAGTGGGAAAAACTTCAACAATATTGTGTGGAAAAGTTAAAGAAACAGCGCAGCATTGGTTAAAGGCGATTAAATCAAGTAAGTCACCTGTATGTTTATTAAAGAAAGCTCTTTATGGACTCCGTCAGTCTGGGCTATCATGGTACATGAAATTGACAAAGAAACTACAGAATATGGGTCTAAGTGCAGTACAACAGGATCCTTGTGTATTCACTAAGCGAGAAGGCAACGACATTGTTTTGATGACAATATATGTAGATGATTTACTAATAGCGTCCAATAATAAGTTTCGTATAAAAGAAATAAAGGCTGCACTTGCGAATGATTTCGAAATGATGGATTTGGGAATAGTAAGTAATTGTCTTGGCATCGAGTTTCATCAAAATTTAAGCAAGCATCAAGTTTTTCTTTCACAAGAGAAGTATGCAAAAAGCATTATTGAAAAGTTCAATATGAAAGACTGTAAACCAGTGAAGACTCCCATAGAATTGAACATTAAGTTAACGAAACCAACAAAAATTGATGAAGGTGTTATGAAGATGTATCCCTATCAAAGCTTGATAGGAGCATTAATGTACTTAGCTGTTACAACTCGACCTGATATTGCGTTTGCTGTAAACTTTCTTAGCCAGTTCAATTCAAATTATAACGTGGAACATTGGAAAGCAGCAAAACGAATTCTAAGATACCTTAAAGGTACAAGCAACTATGGTCTATTGTATGAGAAAGACAATGAAGAATTGTATGGTTTGGTTGACGCTGATTGGGGCGCTGACTTAAACGATAGACGTTCATATTCAGGGTATGCGTTCATTATATCAGGAGCAGCGATATGTTGGGAAGCTCGAAAGCAACGTACAGTAGCGCTTTCAAGCACTGAATCAGAATATATGGCCATATCTGAGGCCACAAAAGAAGTGTTATATCTAAAGGCAATCCTTGATGATGTTGGCATTACAAGTAAGACAATTGAAATCTTTAATGATAATCAAAGCGCTCAAAAATTAACGGAAAGCTTCAGGTATCATCCACGGACAAAGCACATTGATATTCGTTATCACTTTATTCGCAGCAAGGTTAACGACGGCACTGTTAAAATCAAATATATGCCAACAGAAGAAATGCCCGCAGACGTCCTTACCAAAGGACTCACTACAGAAAAGCATGTTAATTGCTTACGGAAATTAGGAATGAAATATTAAAGTCATATTTTATACATAATAAAAGCACTTTAAGAGGGGGTGTTGTTATGTAAAGTACTTTTTAAATATTAATTGCCTGGCAACTCTGGCCTGTCATTATTCTATATTCCTTTTGTAATTATTATTCATTATTCATTTTTAGTATAGTTAATAAAGCGAAGTAAAGAACATGTTAAAAATACATCGGACTGTGTTTCACTTTTGCTAAAAATATATAATATATATTATTGACCCTCGTAACGATTGTAAGAGTTGAAAACTGTAAAGTTAAAATTTCAAATGTATGTTAAAGTAAACACCGAATGAAGTGAAAGCTGGCAGTTGCAGTCATTGAAAGTGCATAAGATAAATGCTGTCATATACACTGATATATAACATCTTCAAAGATGTAGACTCGCAACAGAACAACAGGAAAGAGTGTTAAAAATTGCAGTGTTAAAATTGAGTTACCCTGCACCCTTAAGCAAATTATATGCTACATCTGAAGTAGCAGTTCCTTTTATGATTGTTTTTTATTTTGCAATTAATATACACATTTTCTTGTATTTATATATAAACATAGCTTCTCTTATCTTTGTTTCAACTGGATTGAGGCCACTTCGTTAATATTTAAAAAGCAGCAGGGAAAAATGAACAAGGCAACCGACGAAAAATTGAGGTTAAGAACAATACCCGGCAAAGGCTGCCCAAAATTTTCGATGGAAAACGTTATAATTATTAAGACGATTTCAAATATGTAAATAGAACCTACGTTAAAAGAAAGTTAAATATTGGATATTGTAAATCTTGCAGCTCATCCAATAATAGGTAAAAAAATATTATTTATAATTAACTAAGAAATGAAAGATTTTGCATGTTAAATATAATGTCGTATGTTGCCATATGAAAGGATTTAGGGAATACATATATTTTTACTGCATAACACTGAATTGTTCTGGTATTTTTGGAGCATAGACCTACTAACCAACTAAATGATTTACTAAATTATAAACAAGACTAATTTTGCAGGTCCTATTGTAACTAGCAGTAGAAAACTAAAATTACTAAGAGAACTATATACTGAATTTTTTAAATAATACTGAATAAAATTAGTTATTTTAACCAATATGTTATTTAAAAAATAACCACCAAAAAATTCAAGTTCAAAAAAGTTTCAGATAGATTCAGATAGTATTAATAGATAGATTAAGATAGGTAGATTTAGTATAATTAAACTATTTCAAATTAAATAATACTATATATTTGTTTATATACTAGATATATTTTTGTTTTAAAATGCTTCAGATTTTCACTATATTATAAAAATGGTTAATTTATATCGCTTAAGTTGTATTTCACAAATCGGTACCGATTTCAGTTCATTACATATACTTTCATTTGATGCAATTTGATGTGCAATTATAGTGCTTTGATTTTATTGAATAAAATTTTAAATTAATTGAAATTTATCAATTAAAAATGAAAATAAAATTAATTAATTCAATTATGCTACAGCTGGTTTAGGATTTTATTTTAATACGAGTACAAGCCAAAAAGTAAATTTGTTACTGAACTTTCACAGCAAATTTTCTGTTAATTTTCTGTTAACTCTAAGTTCGAACATACAAGTCAAGTACATCTTTGGGTCAGTTGGCTAATGAACACTGGCTCTGAGCTTCAAATTTTACAGACCACAAGTTCAACCCTTGGTACTTGCAGTTTTAAAAATTTTTTTTACTTATAATTAAATATAAGAAATAATTCCAAGACCACTGCTGTTAGGTATTTGACAATACTTGAAACAGCTGTATTGGTTAGCCAAAAACTCAAATAATTAATATAATAAATAAACTACTAATACTTTTTGAAACCTCTCTAACAAAATTGCAAAACTTCATTTTTCACAAAATGACGCTAAAATTTTTTGGACATTTTTTCGTAAAAATATTTTATTTTCTTCTATTTTCTGTTAATCATACACCATTTTCCAGTAATAGTACTTTCAAGTAAGCTATGTGTACCCATAAAATTTGAAGCTCAAGCTAAGACATGTCGAAAAACCGTGCACCAGGAACTTAAAGACGCACAGCACTGGAACCAGATCACGAGAGAAGCAGGTAACATAATAAGATTTAAAGAAATCGTTGAAGCCCTAGGCTTCAATTAGGAGAGAAGGACAGCAGTAAATAGGTAATAATTCCAATTTCCAATTACCATAGTTCCAATTAATTAGCCCTCATAGCAAGTATAGATTCCAGTCATCAGCTCATTTCAATAAATTGATCACGAAAATAAATACTTCATATGCAAAATATTGTTATTGGTGTAATCAGTAGGAGTTATCTAGTGACATAAAAAGACAAGAGTGATTATCGTTACTTGATGGATAGGTAGTATCAAGAGGTATACCCCCCGACAGTTGCTAGAATCGACATAGGTGATTTTTTTTAGTGCGATGAAAATATATTCAACTAATTCAAACCTTTTTACACTATATATTATGTTGAGGCTAGTTGAGTCACTTTTACTCTGCGAGTCTCTATTAACTGCGAGGTTATTTCGAGAAAAGTGTATAGGGTAAAAGTGTATAACAACACGTTAGTATATATTACCTAACGAGAGTAATTAGTTCCTCGAGCCGACTGCTCGCTTTCACATTATTAATTAAAATGCGTTACCAATTAATTGGGAGACATACATAATTAAGTAGTATGAAGTAAACTGTATTTGCTTAATATATAAATGAAGATATATATTTTTATGTTAGAAACTCACCATTTGCAGAAAACATGTTGACAGCAGAAAGTGTCGCCGTGTGCAAGATCCCATGACATAATTATTCCATTCAAAATTTATACTAAAAAAATTCTTTTAATTAAAAAAGTTGGAGAGCTGGAAAATCGTTGCTGTGTACTGCGTATGTTCGTATTTTGTCTTCTCTTTTTTGTTTTTGTTCCTTGAATTTTTTCTTTCGTACCTTTAATTGGTATTTCCGTTCAGAACCGGGACGGACTGGTCAAATGCAAGGCTCCTCTTCTTGGTTTAACGAATAAGCCGTTTGAGCTTAAAGGCTAGCACAGACCAAACAGAGTAACCAAAAATAAATAAAAAAAAACAAAGCAAAACAAGTTGCCCGACAACTTTGCGTCGTACTCTTTGCTGTTGCTTGAGCAACTGTGATCAGTTCAACTTTGTTGTTGTTTTTTCTTTGCTTTGTTGTTAATCTTGTTTTGTCGCTATTTGTATTGCATTTTACTATGACAAAAAAAAACAAATAAATTAAAATATTTCCCTTTATTAAACATTATTAGAAATTTTTAAAAAAGAGAACTATTTTAGACTTTACCAAAATAGAGAAAAAAATTGTTAATATTTAACAATGAAAAAAAAAAATTTTGCACTAATGTCCAAAACCCGTTTTCAATTTCTCTATTTAACGACTTTTTTTTCTTCTTTTTTTCGTTAGACAAAATAAATGATTGCGTTTTATTGAAAGCCCATTTGTAGGTGTTATTGACCTAGGTCATTCATCTGATTTTCAGTATTCTTCAATTATTAATAATTTGGATTGCGTCACGCGTCACTATTCACTATTCACTTTTCATTATTCATTATTATTCCTTCATTTTTACTTTTTATTAATTCTAATATTAAACATTTCATGTAATTCTTATTAACACAAAAATTGAAAGTTTGCTTTTTTTACCACTAAATGACTCAATAATTTATTACTAAATTATTTCTTTTTGTTTTTGTTTTTTTTTTATTATTAACTACTTTTCCACACACGTCAATTTGAATTTCCGCTTCTCAACACGCAACGCACACCTGCACACAAACAATTGGTAAAAGCGAAGCAGCGAAATAGTGAAATTATTTAATGCAATTGACTGATTGGAAAAATTTAACAAATTTATGGTAAATGCCAAATTACGCGTACGAATTCGCGTAACAATCGTTTTTTGGGCAAAATGTCAAGTCCGTTCAAATTGTTGCAATTTAATAACAAAAACAAATTCACTTAACACGCACTACTTACAAACACCAAAACAAAAGATGACAACACTCGAACGACCGCAATGACGACCACTCACTTCGAACAAAACTCATTGAATAAACGTTAGTGAATTTGTTTTTAAAATGCATTTCGTTATAATTCTTTGTTATATTGCTCTCGCTTTCATACTTCAACGAAACCACCTGTTGCATGAAGTAGGTAACTTCTGGTGAGAAAAAAGGATACATATAGTTGTAGATCTGGTTGTTGTATTTGCTAAAAATAAGTTTTACTTATTGGACTCTCCCTGTTACTGCAAAATTTGAATTTAAAAAATTATTATAAAATAAAAATTATAATTTATAAAATATTAAATAAAAATAAATTCCAAATGCAGAAAAAACAAATTTCTGAATTTTCAATTATTTTTATTTTAATTTATTAACTTTTCAACAATTTTTTTTTTTTTTGCAGCGGTTCTTTTGCATCTTTATAAATAGTCAAATTCACTGCAATATAATTTAAAATTGAAATATAAGTTAAGATAAAATAAAATATAAAATGCAAGAGAGTAAAATGCGCTCTCTACAATATTAAAGAATTTTGTTTAGCATTTAATACTAAAATTTTATACAAAGGCCGTGTGCGAGTTCGAGTAAATTGATGGTAAATTGAAGGAAATAGTAAATTATGTCGGTATGGCAGCGAATGTTGGTATTTACCAGAATTTTGAGTAGGGTAAATTAGAAAAAAATTAGGTTAATACTAATATAATAACAAAAATAATAAATAAGTGCAATAAATAAATAAATAAATATTTACATATGGTAAGTGCAGTGCAAAAAATTTCTAGCAAATTTCAATTTACTCGAAGTCGCACACGGCCTTCAATTCTTCCAATTACTTATTGTCATTTCATTTATGGCAGATGTATTTATAAGTAAATATATTAAAAAAAAGAAATGGATTTAATATTTTTAAATATTTTAAACTTTAGTAGTTATTTAACAAAAATTGATCAAAATATATACCACAAAATGAATCTAATAAAGTAATTAAGTCAAATATTGATTATGGAGAAAATAAATTAAATTTAATTAAGTAAATAAATAATTTATAAATAATTAATAATAAATACGTATTAATAAATAAATATTTTCTACAAATAATAGTGTTAAGATTTAAAAACAAATTTACAATGATTAACTAATTTATATAGCTGTGGTTTACGCATTTGTTCTAATTAATAACACAGTTAGTGCAAATTTGCTTATAAATTAACAACAAAATTGATGAAACTCTAAATTAAAATAAATCAAATTAATTATACATTAGCTTTGTGTGCTAACACACGAGTTCAAATTTGGTAGGTTTGATTTCTGACACATTCTGAAAAATTGTACCAATAAAAAATTTGCAGATACGAGTATAGGGACAATTGTACTAATAAATATTTCCAAGTACCACTGATGACTAATATTTGGAAGTACACTTGGCATCTGTATTTTCAGCTCAATAATTCACTTAAATAAAAATTAAAAATTATTTTGGATTTGAAAACTTCGTCACTATTATCTAATCCAGGGCTGTCCAGACTAAATAAGACCGCGGGTCAATTCAAATCACTTAATAGGTTGGAGGGTCGCAGAAATAAATACATACAATTTTGCCGACGATAATATTAAATTTAGTTTTATTGGTTCTTCATTAATTATCTTTTACAATTTTATCAATATTAACAATATTAATATTCGATTAGACTTAAGTAACTGGACTGTAATCACTTACGGTACCTAATACGAGTTTTTTGAACCAGTTGTGCAAAGAAATATATACCAAAGTCTTTGTCAATTAAGTAAATTAACGTTAAGTGTAATAAATTATTTAAAACATTTTAATTTATTTATTTGGGATACCACTAAAATAAAATAATGTAATGTTACCAGCACAAAAGATCAACTATTGCCGCAGTGCTCCATTCCGTTGGGAGCTGATACCAAATGTTAGCGGCGGGAGCATGATGCCCGTGGGTCGTGCTTTGGACAGTACTGATCTACTCTATTGGAAATGGATATCTTGTCATAGGAGAAAAATCTCCTTAACTATAAAAAGTTATCTTAATTAAATTTTAATCAATGAGATAAAGTTTAAATATTCTATAAAATATCTTTCTATATCTTTTCACTGTCAAACCTTTTTTCTTTTACGACTGCTGCCTTATTGATATTATTGTAAGGTGTGTATGCGTGGATACTCAATTATAAATGTAAAATAATGTCAAATTTCTTATTATTAAATAAATTTTAAGGTAATTCCGGAATTTGCAAATATAGCAAAACATAAGCAATGACCAGCGGACTACAAAAAAAAAATGACTGTTACATTCATCCAGTGGACTTTACTAACCAGCGACTTCAGCTTAATTGTGAGCAGTTCTAGAGTAAAATGTGTGCTCAACTTCATTGCAATCATGCTTTAGAGTTAACTTTATAGCGCAAACTTCTAATTTACTTTTCATTTGTCTTATTTTAACCTAAAAGCCTTTTAAATATTTGCTAAAATTACTGTAATAAGACAGTAAGCAACCGATTGCTTTAATAACAGTTTCAATACGCTCCAATGTGACAAGTGACATTTCTTTTCACTCGTTATGTCATTGAAAGCAAGCGCTTTGCTCTCGTTATGTTTTGGACGCTTGAACAGCCATCAAAATATTTTCAGTATCCGTTACAAGGAAGGTGCAACGAAAACGGTTATTTCAAACTCATTTCAAGCATTCGGCGTAAAGCGAGAATAGAGCTCTTGGTATTATTAAGAAATAATGCACTCAAGTACTATAGAGAACCATATTGGCAAGAAGAGCGATGAGCTTCATCAGCGCACAATGCGAAGCGGTTAAAATAATTTTGTTGGGAAGTGATGTTGGTTGGTTGGTTGAATGCAGTGGCAGGCCATTAGATAACTTCCATGTACCTCAATTATAAATTTTTCGCTGTTTTGCTATCACATTCCGCGCAAGAACCATAGTATAGAAGAATAAAGACTAAATCCATCCCCCCGAATTTAGATAATTTGATAAGTCTTTCGTCTTGACCCATGAACATTTTGATAAACTATCAAAGTAATATCTTCATAAGAACCTATATCTTCTGGACGCCAAAGCCGGGCATTCACAGAGGAAATGTATTATGATTTCTTTCTTGTGCAGGTTTCCACAATTTCTGCAGTGAGGGTTATGTGGAATGCGCAGTTTCTCTGCGTGAGTTCCTACACATCAATGACCAGAAAGAAGTGCAGTAAGCCTTGCAGTGTTCACGCGGTCTCTTTGGATGAGTTCCGAGGATTTATTTTTATTATAGGTATTATTATAGGCAAAAAATAGCGGAAGGTACTTTTTTTAATGGTCTCTAGGGTAATATAAACCGGTAAGAGTGATGTTGAGTACAAGGAAATATTTATGTTGTGTAAATAAGGGTTGAATTTTTGACTTAACTTGCAAAATTCACTAAAATATGAATTAAGTAAACAGTAAAGTTTATGACTTAAGTCTGCTTAAATCACGGTTCTGAAACACAACAATGGTGAGCACTCATGGGTGTACACAGGTAGGGGCAGGGGGCGCTCGTTCTCTGTAGATTTATAGCTTCAAATGGAATATCCTAAACTTTTATAGAAAAGCTCCCTTTTCGTTAGATTTAAATTTATCTAAATTAGATTTATGCCTTTTTAATTTCAATCTCCTGTTATTGTTGTGATAGCTCATGACAATAGATAGGACAGATAACATGAAAGGAATTATAAATACAAATACATGGGTTAAAATATGGTTGGGTAAGGGAAGTATGAAATGAGAGAGGATTGCTTGGGAACATCTCTCTGTTCATTATACCAAATCAGTACTCCTTCAAACGCTTTCTAATCACTTCATAAATTTTTATTTTTATTTACTATATAAAAATATTAAATCTCAACATGAATAGAAAAAGATTTCCTTTACATTCGTAATTCTCATCTCATTTTTTGACTATAAACTCAAAATTTAATGCAAATATGTAACGATGTATTTACTTTACTTTATTATCTTTAGAGCTTTTAAAATTACTTAAAATTGTTTATTTATTGTAGCATAAAAAGTTGAAATGAACAAATTATTTAATAGAAAATATATTTTTTTAAACAATTTAGCACAAATAAAAAATTATCACTTCACTAAATATGAAATATTTTATGAGTGTAAACGTATGTGTGAGATGAATTTTTTTTCTTAATAGTACGAATATTAAATAATTATTTTAAATTACAAATGGTTTTTATGATATACACATCTAACAATTAAATATTCTTAATATTATAGTAATTAGTTTATTTTACAATTCAAATAGTCGCCTACAAACATTTCTTAAACATATATACAAATATTCTGTACATACAATGAAATTAAACTAATTTTTAGAGATATTAAAATGCATGACTTCTCTGTGAGGTGGGAATAAAAGTACTTATGATTATAATCAATTTAAAACAAAAATATGGGCTACTATTCACATTGCTGTTCAACGTTTAACTGTTTGCGCGCATTAAAATCTAAAACAGAAATCTTCAATTGCCAAGAACATGAAGTTCATCATCTTTTACTTTTTCTCTTTGACGTACTGCAACTGCAGTCTCCACGAGCAAATATAAACATTTAAATTTGTCCTTTTCATCGCGATAGCTCGCTAAAAGAAAATAACAATATCAAAAGTATTAAAATATTCACAAATTTGAGATATATTTATTAGCTTACTTTTATTGCATCCGCTTGGATTGCTAAGTTTCACAGACGGATAATTAGCTCTTGTTTCACTGACATTATTGTTGTCATCGTCGGTTGTAATCACGTTTGAGGATGTAAAAACAGTTCCCTCAGCGCCCACAATTTCTTGTTCTTCCGCTTCCGCTTCCACTTCATCATCCTCATCTTCATCCTCCTCGTCTTCCTCTTCTTCTTCAACTAATTGAGCAGAGGATACGACAGCATTTACATTTGCTGCGGCTTGTGCTGCTAAAATATTGTGATCTGAAATATATATACATCTTTGATTATTTTACAATATTAAAAAAATAAGAAAAGGAAAAAATTTGACTACAAGTTATTGTTGTAGGAACTTAAGCATATAAAAATATTATGATTCCGTAGAGTGGATCAAAAAAAAATTTAATTAAAATTTC